CAAATAAACAAACAAAACATTAAGGATGTGGGGACAGTGTTCTAGGAAGGGGCACAGTGTTCTAGAAAGAACAGAGCACTCCCTCTGTTTCCCCCCACCCCCTTTCTGGCTCAGCAAGGCTGAGACCTACTCCTCTTTGGGGAAGGCACTTGCCTCTGGTTCTCTGAAAGGAAGACTGAGTCCTAGCGGTCCCACATGGGGGAACTTGCAGCTTGCTGTCTGAACAAATCAACATCTTGGTGGTCAAAGGAAGCAGCAGTTTAGCTACTATGGTGGCTCCTATATATAGCTTTGGTATCCAAAGCCAGCTTAAGCTACATGAAACTTCATTTCTGAAACAAACAAAACCAGTCAGCAGTTTATTCTCTTACTGATGTAAGAACCAGGAACTCACCCTTGATTCCTCTACCTGCTGGAACTCCAGGTGCTCTTGTGGCTACATAACCTATTATTTATTTGCTTCCATCTTCACGTGGCCTTTTCTCTTAATTCTCTCCCCCCACCCAGCCCCATTCTCTTGGGAGGACACTTGTCCTTGGATTTAGTGCTCCTCTGATAATCATCTTAAACCACTTACTTTAATTACATTTTCAAAAACCCATTTTCCCCCCATAGAAGGCCACATTCACAGGTTCTAGGAAGGCATCTGGGAAGGCCACCATTCCACCCTCTACAGCTTGTTGCCAATCATCTTTCTAAGGTGGAAATTGTTCATGGGAAAATGTCTTACTGAAGATGTCCTGCTGGAAAACCTCCTAAGGAATAGGGTGCTGGGATGGGTTAGGTACTGGGGACTGCTGGCTACTGCAGAGCCCCTCTTGGTACAGGAGCCTGCTGAGGAAGCACAAAGGGGAGCCCCCAAACCGCTTTTACTCCACTGCCCTCTCTTGACAATGATTAAAAGGTACCAGCAGGCAAAGGGTTCAGGACACCCTTAAGAGAGAGGGCTTTTCCAACCAAGAAACTTGGTGCCAAGCAAAGTAGCTTCAGACTTTAAACTCAGCACTCAGGGTGCAGGGGTAGGAGGACCTCTGTGAGTTAAACCAGCCTGGTCTTCGTAGTAAGTTCCAAGCCAGCCAGCACTACAAAGTGAAGCCTGTGTCAATAAATACATAAATAATATGAGAGAGAGAGAGAGAGGGAAAACCTTGGAACTTAACATAAAAAAAAAAGAGGCAGCTGACTCAGATATTATGACAGATGAATGAATGATAATTCATTTGAGGGACTACTACACATCTCTGTAGTTGAGCTAGGGATTTTTGCAATTATATTTTATGATAAGGTCTTATATAGCTTAGGCTTGTGTTGAACTTCCAATCCTCATACCTGGGTGTTGGGGTTATAGTCATGGGCCTCTTACCTAGCTGCCTGAAAGACTTTTGTTTGTTAACTTTTTTTGTTGTTGTTGTTTTTCGAGACAGGGTTTCTCTGCAGGTTTGGAGGCTTTTCTGGAACTAGCTCTTATAGACTAGGCTGGCTTTTAACTCATAGAGACCCACCTGCCTCCCGAGGGCTAGGATTAAAGGTGTACACCACCAACTCTCCACCAAACATTTTTAAAAGATAGATTTTATGTGTGTGAATGTTCTGCCTGCATGTATGTGCACTGGATGTATGGCTGATGCCAGAGGTCAGAAGAGAGTGTCAGATCCCCTAGAACTGGAGCTCTAGAAGGGTTTGAACCACCACTTGGGTGCTGGCAATGCAACCTGGGTCTTCTGCAAATGTAACAAGTACTCATACTGCTGAGTCAACTCTCCATGCCCTGAAAAAAAATTTTTCTAATCTATAATGTATTTGGTCTTTGTTTCTGTTTACTATTTATTTCAAGACAGGGTTTCTCTGTTTAACCCAGGCTGTCCTATAACCAACTCACTCTGCAGACCAGGGTAGCCTTGAACTCAGATATTCACCTGCCTCTGCCTTCTGGGTGTGAGGCAACACAGAGCCCCTGTATTTGGTCTTTGTGAAGTCAAGTCATTTTATTTATTTTTGTCAGTGCCTGATGCTGAATATTATTTTTGTTTTGTTTGAGACAGGGTCTCATTTTGTAGATCTGGCTGGCCTACAACTCACTATGTTGACCAGGCTGGCCTTGAAGTCACAAAGATCTCCTGCCTCTGCTTCTAGACTTCTCAAAGGCATTTGTTACCACACCTGGCAGTCATAGCATTTTTATTAGATATATAATGAGCCTAACACATACTAGCAGGCAAAGTGCCCAGACCAAAGTGTGGAAGGTCATTTTGTAAGACTAAGCATCAGATACATTTTTATGGGTCCAAAATATAGCATGAGCAGAGCCTCCATCTTAATCTACATGGTTCATAGCTGTAATCTGGAGTTGCTAGCAATTTTAGAGAGTTAAAGTGTGTTATGTGGCTTTGAAGATAATACAATCTTGCTATATTCATGAGGTGGCATTACCTTACTAACTACAATGTGAGAAATTCTGTGTGGCTACTATTTCTAAATGAAAATAGCCACATCTATTTTAATTTTGCAATCTTTTTGAAATTAGCATAAAGTTAAAAAATCGTATATGTGCTGCTCATTGATTAAGACACACATGCACAAAATATGGGCACGTTATGTACAATACTATATTTAAAAAGATTTAAAATATTCCAGAACGATCAATACTTCAACAGCATCCCTGCTGCTCCAGCATTGCTACTCTGTTCTTGAACTTTATGTAATGGAAACATACAATAAATATATGTTGATCTTTCCAGTCCAGCACCACTTGTGATGACACTATTATCTTCCCTTTTTACCAGCTATCAGCCACTGTGAAATATGTGTGCGTACTGGATGAATAAGTCTGTTGCTTTACTTAGACTAATCAGCTAATTATTCTTCCAGAAATATAATACTGTTGTCATGAGTACATTGTACATGCCTATGTTCCTTGTGCTTGGGAAGCAGAGGCAGGAGATTGTCAAGTGTCAAGGACCACACTGGACTACAATGTAATATCCTACCAAAACAAAACAAAAGCCACACAATCCAGGTCTGTAATCCCAATGACTTGGAGGAGGATTTGAAGTACTTGTTTCAGTTTCAGAACAAGTTCAAGGCTAGCCTGCTGAACTTAGTGAAATTCTACCTCAAAATTAAAATCTTAGGGGAAAAAAACCCTTTAGTTTTATGTGTATGAATATTTTGCAGGCACGTATATGCACTAAGTGTGTGCCTGGTGCCCACGGAGACCAGAAGAGGGCATCAGATCTACTGGGACTGGAATTACAGTTGGTTGTGAACAGCCATGTGGGTACTGGGAATCGAACACCAGTCTTCTGAAATAGTAGCTAGTGCTTTGAACCAATGAGTCATCTCTCCAGCCTAAATTGAAAACACACACACACACACACACACACACACACACAATTAAAATAACATAATAGAGTGCTTGTTTAGCATATGCAAGGCCCTTGAGTTCAATCAGCAGAATCTAAGTTTTAAAAAAGGAAAGGAAGGAAATAAGGAAGGAATAGAAGAAAGAAATAAAGGGAAGGTGGGAGGGGGGATCCTGAAGGTAACAAAGCCTCAAAGTCCTGGGGATATAGCTCAGTGGTTGAATACCTGCCTACCAAGTGTGAGTGCCTAGGTTCCCTCTGGAATACTGGGAAAAACAAAGAAAGAAACAAACAACAAAAGGAAGCAACCCAGAAAGTCTGTATTAACAGATTTTACTGTCAGGAGATATAAGTTCTCAGATCTCTTCTTGGCTATTCTTGACCTTTGAGTTTGTTTCTGGACTCTATTCTGTCCTCCATCCCCTTTTTAAAGAAAAGGTCTCACTGTTTCTTCTCAGGCTGGCCTTGAATGTGTTATCATCCTGCAAGTCTATCAAGACTGTGGTAGGCCTGTTTTACCTTGCTAGTTTTGGTAGCATTTTCTGACCTATATTGTACTTTTTTAAGGTAGCTCTATCCCAAAGGAGCTCTTTGAAGGGTGTGGTGGCAGATGCCTATAAATCCCAGAATTTAGGATGTGGAAGCAGTAGAAACCCAGGTTGGAGTTTGGGCTGGTTTTTGAGACCATTTCAAAACAAACCAACTAGAAAATTTCCCTAAACAACCCAACCCCGAACATCCAAAACCAAAGAATCTTCTTGGACGACACAAAAGACCTACTTGTGCCTTCGAGGTTACTGAGCAAAAGCACCCGCTAGACACAGAGAAATGGAATCGCTGTATTTAGGGGTTTTGTCCTTTGCCCCTAGTGCTGGGAGATGAACGCAGGGCTTCACCGAATTCCTAATTCCAAAGATGAGTTAACTGTAGAAAAGATTTAAAATTCAGTATTGGACAACACAGTTCATGCTTCTTTACCCCTTCACAGCTATTCACTTCATCTTGGCCAAAAAGTCCAGAAACATCCCTCACATCTCTGAAGATTATCAGACGGTAAGATTTTTTAAGCACATGAGTTCACCAACACTGAGTATCTTAAATCTGAGGCAAAACGATTTCCGGAGCCTTATATGTGCTTTGAACAGAACACTAACTTTAGATAAGTGAGTCTTAGTCTAAGGAAGACACTCTCCCAAATGCCTTCTCTTTTCCTATAGAGCTTTGCTTGGCACAAAACTTATCAGGGGTGACATCACGGTAATGTGTTCCAAAGTTGAATACATGTCATTAGACTAACTTAGATGGTATTTAAACAGAATTCAGACACTGCAGTTAAAAATACTGGAAGACTAAGGAGAAAAGGAGAACTGGGGTGGGGAGGGAGGCGGAACCGGCCGGTGACTTTCCAGGGACTTTCTCACCTCCGGGGCAGACGCTGTCCATTGTAGCTCCAGGGTGGCGCCCGGCCCCGCCCCTCCCACCTGGGCACTCTCCGGACCACGCCCCCTCGCGCTCGCCCCGCCCCCGAGACGTCCGACCAACGCGGCGCCCGGGCGGCGCGCTGACGTCCGACGCTTCAGGTACTTTCCCCAAGGCCGGCTCGGCTCAACGTGGGGGGCGGGGCGGGGCGCGGAGCGCGCATGCGCCACAGCGCCAACGCTCTCCCCGGATAGAGCGGGGCCCGAGCCTCTCCGCTGTGGTGGTTCCGCTCGCGCTCGCGCTCTCCCGCCGCCATGTCGGCCACCATCGAGCGGGAGTTCGAGGAACTGGATGCTCAGTGTCGCTGGCAGCCGTTATACTTGGTGAGTCTCGGGCCCGCGCGGCGTCTGGGTCTTCCGGGGACCCAAGCTCGCGCCTGCCGGCTCCGAGTCGCCTCCCCCGCCTCCCGTTCGGGCGGAAGTGGCGAGCGCGGGCCGCGTCAAGGGGCGCGCCTGCGCGGAAAAAGCCCTCACCCCCTTTGCGAGGCTTTAGACGGGAAGCGTCGAGGTGGCTGAAGGCTGTTGGTTGTGAAGGCGGCGCCACAGCGGCGCCTGCTGGCTGCGCGGCCCGGCCCCGGCGTGTGGTGCGTTGGGTGGAGGTTCGAGGGACACCGCGAGCGGGGTGACAGCCTCCGCTTCGTCGTCGACAGCGTTCTTGTCGGCCGGTGCTCGGTGGGCAAGCGCGCCGGTAGCCGGTGCAGCGCAAAGGGCGAGCGAGCCCTGTGATCGGGGGCCAGCCAGGGCGAAGCGGGGTCTCGGTGACTTGCTGTGTCCTCGGGGGCCTGGAACGATTGCAGAGCTGGAGCTGAAGCGGCAGCGAGAGCTCCCGAGGGATCGGGGATCGTCAGTCTTTTCATGGGTCATCGTGTGCTAGAGCTTCCCGGAACAGTGGCTTTGGTTGTGTTATTAGTGATTAAAGTAGCGTCCTCTTTAAAATGTCCTTTCCTTAGTGTATGTAGATGTGTATGTAGCGAGCGCACCGCGAATCTTTGTGTGAGCTTTACTTTTGGGAGCGTTTCCCAAATGAGTCCACCGGTGGTTGTAAGCACCCACTCTTTCGGCCCCAAAGAAGCCACAAGTCCATAGGCCGCCACCGTTTCTGTCGTCAGAGAATAACCTTACCTATTGAGCTCGTACTAAAGTAGTCTGTACTACGAACGCTTGTGACTACCTTTTTCAGCTGGTGGCTTACATTTTAATACAGGCAAAACTTTTCTGCCCTTACAAATGATTCGTTGCTAATCATTAGCATTTCTCCGAAGATCGAATTTAGTGATTGGTGAATTAGTAAATGTCTCCTTATGTTTTTGGCTTATTCTTACAATATACAAAATGACGCTAGAAAGCTTTCTCTTACCTCTGGATGATTCTTCTGCCCCCCTACCCTCTTCCCCATTACACCCATTACACTTAATTAGATGAAATTTTCAGTTTTTTTTTAAAGGATTTATTTCTATCCCTACCCCCATGTGAGACAGATTCGTGGTCTGTAACTCTAGCTGCCCAGGAACTAGCTTCATAGATCAGCCTGACCTTGAATTTACAAATCCTGCCTTTGCTTCCTGAGTGCTGGGATTAAAGGAATGTGCCACCACATCTGTCTAGAACTTTTTTTTTTTTTGCTTTTTCGAGACAGGGTTTCTCTGTAGACCAGGCTGGCCTCGAACTCACAGAAATCCGCCTGTTTCTGCCTCCTGAGTGCTGGGATTAAAGGCATGTGCCACCAACAAACACCTGGCTAGAACATATTTTCTTAAACGTTTTAGCAAGCAATATATTAAACATCCTAATTTGCCAGGTTCAGCACACATTTGAATTAGGTACTAGCTATTACTACTACTACTACTACTACTACATGAGGAGGGCAGTCTTTTGGCATTTGTATAGAGATCAGATTTTAGTTGTCCTCTACCATGTGGATTCTAGAGATAGAACTTGGGTCATCAGGCTCAGAAGCAAATACCTTTTACTCCCTGAGCTATCTCTCTCTCCAGGTCAGGCACTAGTTTCTAAAGAACGTTAGAAAGGCCTCTTCCAATTATAGAATCTGTATTGTGCTATATTTTGTTTTGGGACAGGGTCTCATTGTAGCCCAGGCTGGCCTTGAACTCTGATATTCAGACTTCCACTGTCAGAGTGCTGGGATGAATGAAATTGTAGAAAACTTTTTAAATTTGTTTTTTTTATTTTATGTGAATTGATGTTTTATCTGCATGTATGGTCTGTGTGTGTCACATCCCCTGGAACTGGAGTTACAGACAGTTGTGAGCTGCCATGTGGGTGCTAGGAATTGAACCCTGGTCCTCTGGAAGAGTAGTCAGAGAGAGAGATGGAGCTAGAGAGAGAGAGAGAGAGAGAGAGAGAGATGGAGCGAGAGAGAGATGGAGAGAGAGAGATGGAGAGAGAGAGATGGAGCGAGAGAGATGGAGCGAGAGAGATAGAGCGAGAGAGAGAGAGAGATGGAGCGAGAGAGAGAGCCTCCAGAAGGAAAAGATTGCCTAGTAGCACATGCCTTCAAACCCCAAATTGAAGAGACAAAGTCAGAAGGTCTCTGAGGTGATTTTGATTTTGTTTTTTTTCTTTTTGTAGCCTTAGCTGGCCTTGAACTCAGACCATTCTGCCTCTACTTCCTCGGTGCTGGGACTAAAAGTCATGGACCAACATGTCTGGCTCAGATCTTTTGAGTTTTAAGCCAGCCTGGCCTACATAGTTCTAGGCCAGCCAGGGCTACATAGTAAGACCAAGTATTAAAACAAAACAAAAAAACAGGAAGATGGGAGAGTAACTGGAGAGATGGCTCATTGATTAAAAGGGCTTGTTGCTCTTCCAGAGGGGCTTGATTGATTCCTAGCATCCATAAGCTGCTCACAACTGTCTCTAGCTCCTGTTCCTGGGGATCCAATGCCTTCTTCTGGTCTGCAGGGAGACCAGGTGTGCACATGGAGCACATGCAGACAAAACACCTACACACCTATTAGGGGTGTGTGTGTGTGTATATGTGTGTATAATAACAAATTTTAAAGGACTAATACTTAATTTAGCCTAACATTTATTTTTTGGGACAGAGACTTGCTTTGTATTACAAACTGTCCTGAAATTTACTATGTAGCCCTACTAGGTTTGTGGCAGTTCTGCTAGGAGCCACCATACTTGGATATATACATGTTTAACATTAATGTCCTTGAGAAATCAGTGAAAGTTGTGATTGATCTTAACAGAAAAAAAGCACATATTGGGTGTAGTGGCTCAGCCTGTAACCTAACAATTAGGAGGCTGAAGCAGGAGGATTGTTGTGAGTTTAAGACTAGACTGTAGCTGGGTGTTGGTGGCCCGTGTCTTTAATCTCAGCAGAGACAGGCAGATTTCTGAGTTTGAACCCCCCCCCCCCCCCCCCCCGGTTTACAGAGTAAATTCCATAACATCTAGGACTAAGGGTAAGATCTTGAGTACAAAACATTCTAAATAAATGAAGTCAGTCACATGGCACAGTCTTTAATGCCTAGAAATTGGGAAGTGGAGCCTGAAAAGATCTGGAGCTAGGTCAGCCTGCCTGGTGTAACTGATACTCTGTCAGAAAAAAAATCGTGCTGGCAAGGTGGCTCTGTGGGTTAACTCATCACTTGCCAAGCCTGAAGATGACTTGAGTTCAGTCCTGATCTGCATGGAAGGAGAGACTACCTTTCCTTCACAAATTGTCCTCTGACCTCCATACAAATGCCTTTTCATGTACACCCACAATAACAAGTTAAAATGTAATTTTAAAAATTGGAAGGTAGGGGAAATGGCTCCTTTGGTAAGAAGTTTGCCATGAAAGTAAGAGCACCTGTATTTAGATCCCCACAATTAATAAAAACCAGGTTTTTATTAGTGCTGGAGAGGTGGAGACATGCAGATCTCTGGAGCTCACTTGTGAGCCAGCCTCGATGAATCAGTGAGCTGTGGGTTCCTGGAGAGACCCAGTCTCAAAAAATAAAGTTTGGGGACTGGACAGGGAGCTTGGATTGGACCCTAATTGGGTTCCCAGCATCACATCAAGTAGCTCAGAACTGCCTATAACTCTAGTACCAGGGGATCTGGCATCTTATGGCCTCTAGGGGAGTATAACCCTGTGTATAAGCACATATACACACAATTGAAAATACAGATAAAAATCTTAAAGTGTGGGGCTGGCAATGGTAAGATGATTCAGAGCCTGTGTTTCCTGTCAAGCTTGACAATCTAAATTTGATCCTTGGTGCCCACTTGATGGAAGAAGATAACTGACTCTTGCAAGTGATTCCATATGCATGCATGGCCTGCATAAATAAATTTCAGGAAATGAAAAACACAGGCAAAAAATTCACCAACTTGTATTCACTGAAAATTTCATATTCCTTTGAACAGAATTCAGGAAACCCTTCCGGATACTAGTACCCAGGATCTTTAAGCAGAACAGTAGTTCTGCACACTTTCTTTCCAAGCTCAAAAGCATTAAAACTGTGCTAATTGGTGTTATAGTAAAAAACAAGTCAGGAAGAGTTTGGACTTAATCTCTTTCTTAGGATCCTAGAGTACCTATCTCACTATTCCACATAGATGGCTGCAGACAAGATCTCTGCTGCCAAGGCTCTGATCCCGAGTCTTGAGAACCTCTTTGGAAGCTCATATTTTGCACTCTTGACTTCTTGGTGTAGTGGGTTAGTCTTGTACTAGTATTTGGCACTGAAGATAACTGGTTAAAGACAACACTAAGCTGGGCATTGGTGGTGCACACCTTTAATCTAATACTCAGGAGGCAGAGGCAGGAAGATCTCTGAGTTTGAGAGGCTAGCCTGGTCAACAGAGTGAATTCCAGGACAGGCTGGGGTACACGGAGAAACCAAAATAAATAAAGACAATACTCATTAGGGTCCAATCTAATGAAAAGCAGTAAATGGCTAAGTACATAAAAACATGAAAGTGAGTGGTCCATTAAGAGCTCATCGGGTAAAGGTGTTAACCAAAGCTTAGCAGTCAGAGTTCTATACTTGGAACTCATGTACAGGTGGAAGGAGAGAACTGACCACATTTTCCTCCTCTGCCAAAACACATGCTGTGGCACACAAATGTTTTATATGTGAAAGCAAGGTGTGTAGCTCAGTAGAGTGTGAAGCCCTGAGTTCAGATCCCAGCAAAGTTGTGTGTAATGGTGTATGTCTGGAAGGAATCTCAGCACTCTAGAGGTAGAAGGATTAGAAATTCACTTATTATCCCTGGGTACATAATATGAAGTTAACCTGGTCTGTGTAAGAACTGTCTCAAAAACAAGTGGGAGTGTTATCAATAAGAGGATTGGAGGATGAAAA